GCATGCATTTGGATTTAAGAAAAAATATTCAACTCAATATCGGTGCCACTTTCTATATTTGGCATTTTGAAAGAAGAATGAAGTAAATATATTCATTGAGTGTGACAGCTGCAATTGCAAAACAGATGTGGGTGTGCTGTGCTAGTGAATCAGTCAACATGAGCAGCATTGTAGTTGGTGACATGACTTTCCAAAACGGTGAGCAAATCTTAGTGAAATTCCAAGTATGTTGGCTATATTCCTAGAAAACACCTGTGTGAAAATATTTTACATAAACAGGGTTAGAATCTAATGACAGGTCATTGTGAGCAAGTTTTTCATTTACATATGCATCTGAAGTATAAAAATTATGGGGGATGCAGGATTTCCCTATGCATTGTAGGGTTTCTTGCATTCCTGGGCCTTGCCTTCCAGATATTTCACAATTTTAGAAAACTCACTCAAAAGGACTATATGAATCCCATTCAGCAATCCTAATATGGCAATAGTCTCTCACTGAAGGAAGCCAATTCAATTCTAATACATAATGAAGCTATTTTGAAAAAGCTGAACTCTTAAGTTTTTAGTAAGAAAGTAAGTTTAGAGGGGACTAAATAACAAATAAAGTAAACAGCAACAAAATCTAACCATGTAGGTAACTAAACAATAGAAACATACTAATAATAGGCACAGTATATGAGGCTGGCTGATCTGGTCATAACTGTCAGAGTTTCATTTTCTATGTGGGAGTGTCAGATAAGACTTCACAGGTGAAGTGACATCTAAACTAATTTTTAAGAGATGAGTAAGCATTTTCCAGGCTAAAAAGGAAGTGGATGGAGAACTTTTAGGAAGAGGGAACAGTATTTGCAAAGTAGTATCATAAAGAGGGTTTGGCTGGTAACCGGGACTCAACATTGGCAGTTGTAGAAGTGATGGGGGATGAGGCTGAAGAAGGTTGGGGATGAAATATCAAAGGTGTTGTATGCCATGCTAAATCATTTGGATTTTATCCTATAGGACAGGCAGTGGGATGGTCAACTGCAATTTTAAATAAAGTGATGTAGCCCACTTTTGTGGGGGAGGCAGTCTCTGAGCTAGTCCTGAGGAAGGTGGTCCATAAGAAGAGGAAAGATTGATGCCTGGGAGACCAGTCAGGAGACTGTGGAGGAATACATGTGGGGTAAGGTTCCCACTTGTTAATCAATCAGATCTTTGCTCAAGGCTGAGTCACCACTTTATCTAACTGGGAAGCCTGTCACTGAAAGCCTATTTCAGGACTTACCTTAAACAGGGATGGTGAAGAAGGGGAGAAGGGTTTAAATTCCCCATAGCACACACTTGTAATTCAAGTGTCTCCAAGTCTTCCAGCTCCCAACATGGATCAGAATAACAGGCTGTAAGCCACCCTCTGTTTTCTTCAAGGGCCATTGCATTAACTGAGGTAAGTTGAGCTTTTATAATAGGCCTCCATATGTCAGTGGTTAGTAGAGCAGAAGTTTATTTTTGCTTATAGGAGAGTCCAATGTGTATTCCATTCAGTGATTTGGGAATTTAGATTCTATCTACACTAGGGACGTGGAGAGTTCTTCATTTAGCAGGCAGTTGTGAAAGAGAATGAACATAAAGAATGCACACTTAACAAGTGACACACCTTGCTTCCATTCATATTCTGTTGTTGAGATAATTACATCACTCCATCTATGTACTGGAGTGGGCTGGAATGCATAACCCCTGGCTGGGCAACTCCCCACCCTCCAGTAACATTTCTGTATCCAGGAAGGAGAAGCACAAATATTGCTAAACACCTATTTCTGCCATATTCTGCCTCTGTGGCCAGGACCACCTCAACCTCAAGAGACTATTTGAATCCCTTCTGGTCACTGCATCCATCTCAAGGTACAGTTTCTATGGTAATGCTAAATCCCCCCTATTTAGTCTGGATAAGACTCCTCATTGTCCAGAAGCCTTTATACTAAGGGACAGGTTATTAGTCTCCCATGGTAAAAGGATCAATAAGATATAGAATAATTGTATTCAGAATTCCCATTTGGAAAAGAGAAAAATGGGAGACATAGAACAGATGTTGGCCCATAACATGGAAGAAATCCTACTAGACCTTACTAAAGATCTCCTGCTCTGGCGGTAGGGGAAATACCTTTATTAGACTCTGGTTTTGCTGTCTTGGAAGAACTCCTATGTTCTTTGTTCCCTGTTGCCCAGGCCACCCTCTGGGAGGTTCTTACTTGTTCATCATACCCCATGGCCACATCCAACATGGGTGATAGGAAAGAATACCCTTTTTGGGAGTTATATTACTTTCTTAGCCCGCTCCTTGCTTGTACAAGTTTGGAAGTTTTAGGTGTTGTTTTATGGTCACTATTCTTTTTTTTTTTTTTCTTTAGGCCAGGCTCTTAATTTTAAATACAATTCCCTCAGAATCTTAATAGATTTCTTATCTATTTTCTTTCTGCCAGTTATACTACTAACTACACTGAAAATTCTTTCCTGTCCATAATTCTTGGACTTGCTTCATTTCTTTGCTCATGACTTAACCACCAATATCTCAACGGTTACTCTGAAGTCATCTGAAACAAGAGGCTTGGATGCTTCTTGCTTGTTAATCAATCAGATCTTTGCTCAAGGCTGAGTCACCACTTTATCTAACTGGGAAATCTGTCATTGAAAGCCTATTTCAGTGTTATTCCTCACGATTAGAGTTCCTTAAGCAATGTGCTCTTCTGGAGTTACAGTCATACATTTCTGGAGTTTGGCTGTTTGCCTTTATCTCTGTTCTGAAACCAGCCAATTCTTTCCTGAGCTCATTCATTATCTTGTAATATCTTCTGAAGGCAGTGAGAATCAGCCATCACACACTAGCATTCTAGCTCTCTCAAACATTTCCTCTAGAGCTATGGATCTGTATATTTCTGTATTTCCTCTAGAACTATAGATCTGCCCTCTAAGTTAGTGTCATTTTGACAGGGTATAACAGGGTTCCAGGCTTCTGATTTTCTATATCTGTTTCCTTGTTGATGGCCAGTGCCTCATTTAGGTTTTTATAAAGGCAGCAACCACTTTAAGTTATCAATTTCAGAATAAGCAGGATGATGTTAGCTGCTATAACAAACACCAAAGTGTTACCAGCTTAACATAATATAAAACTTTATTTCTTACCTACATAACTATCAAATGGAGAGAGATTGAGAGAGAGGTATATGTGGGGGCAAAGAGAGAGTAAAAAGGCACATCCACTTTGTAAACATCTTGGCTCAGAAATGACAACAGTGACTCTTCTGCTCAAATTCCACTGATGGAAACTAGTCAAGTAGATGCAGGAGGTGCTGTGAAATGTATTCCTGGCTTACCAGGAGCTTCTCAGTGACATCTTCCTCTTAGAAAAGTTAAGCATAAATTTAGAGGGACAATTAGCCCATTGCTTCTGGTTTCATCTTCTTCAAGAATAAATTAGGGAGAATAAAGGGTTTGAATTTCATCCACTCACTAGTAATCCATGCTATGGATGCATCTCCTTACCTGACTCCTGTCTTCTTTGTGGCTCTTCCAGCCAGACTTCTCTGAAGGATCACTAGTATAGGCTCTTGTCTATGACAAACTCTGGCTGAGTGCTTTGTGATAAAGGATGGTAATCATACCATAGACAAGAAACTGATTTTGACAGTGGTAAATATCACTATTCCTAGTAAGGTAGTTACCATTTCTCACCATAGGGGTTTGCTCACTAGCCTGAATTGCTCTGGGGTCCAGATAGCAGCCATTTGCTAGGCCTTTCTCTTCTGTCCTTTCCCTCTATCCTTTCTCAAGGTGTCAGTGGATTTGGTGTGCAGGCCCATAAGGGAGTTGCCAAAACAGCCAAACAGTCCATTATGGTTTTTTTCCAAAACAAAGCAACAGTTCTTTCTCTAAGAGGACTTACTGCTTTCTCATAGTTCAGCTACTGCAAAATTGTAGCCACCTCTTTCAAGACATTCACTTAGCACATATTTATTGAGCACTTTTCATATGTAAAGCATTTTTCTAGGTGCCAGATTAAACAAAATTGGTCTTGTCCCTCACCAAGCTTACTGTCTATCCAAAAGCAAACATTGCAACCCCAGATCCCTCTCTGGTGGCCAAGTGCAGTGAGCCTGCCGTGGGTCCAAACGACTGACCATCCTTTATGAACTATTTGGAAAGGAAAGATGATGGGCAAAGGCAAGGCCAGTAGGCAGACACGTGGCTTCTGGAGTGAATGGCCAGCCCAAGTGGGCAGGAAGTTAGATTTGAGGAGTATCGGGGGAAGTCCTGGCCAGTGGGAAAAGAGAGTCTTGAAGCTTTAGATAGACAGGGCAGGCAGGTCAGGCAGGGCCAGGATGATCCAGCCCCGCAGGCTCATACACTATGGTTTTTGGACCGCAGAGTTTGGGAGGAGGTCTATTTTAAGTAGCTAGCAGGGGTTGGGTCTAGTTTAGTTGTAGGTGTCCATTGTCAGGCGAGCCACATGGTGATCACATTATCAATGCAGGATTCATGCACAGTGGAGAGGACCATTTCCTATGCCATCGCCAAACTGCCAGCACCTCTTCCTAGACTTCACCAAACCTTACTAACTGGGCTCCTAGTTTCTTTTCTTGTCCTCTCATTCCATTGTACACTTTGTTTTTTTTTTCCCCAAAAGGCAAATCTGATCATATCACTTATTTACCTAAAACCTTCAAATAATTTCCTATTTTTCTGAGGCAAAAGGCCTAACTATTTAACTTGGAGGTTACCATATTCCTTCTTCATTTCCAAAGCTTCACTAATGTAAGTCAAAACAGACTCTGGTCAGTCTGCCCCCTGCCCACCAGCCTCATGTCAGGCACACTCACCCCTCATTTTCTGCTACAGTTTCTGGCTTTCTCTTAGTTCCTTCAAGGTGCCTGGGATTACTAGCCGTAAGGCCTTCACATGGAGTTGTTTGGGTTGCTCCCTCTTCCCACTTCCACCTATTTAACTCTTACTCATGTTTCTGATTTCAGGTCAAAAGTCACTTGCTCAAAGAGGTCTTCTCAGGCACCCAGAATAGGGTGGGTATCTCCATTGTCCTCTTTCTAAGCACCCTGTATACTCCTATGCAATGCTTTCCCCAATTCTAATTTTAAATTGTGGGTAATTACTTGTTTAGCATCATCTTCCTATGTGAGAATGTAAGCTCAATCAACTGAGAGACTGTCCTTATTCACTGCTTTATCCACAGCACCTCCACAACTCCACAACTTCATACTCATAGCTGATGCTTAGTGCTTATTTGTTGAGTCAATAAGTGAAGGAATGGATGGAGTCGGGACCTATGTCAGGTGCTAGGTCCTAAAACAGCACCAGGAGCATCGTTACCAGAGATGGCTGCCCTGGGTGGGGCAGAGTCAGACCAGCGCGAACTTGTCGTGATGACTTGCCAGACACTGGCCCTGTACTATTTTATAGTCACTCACTCTTAACGTTCTTCTTGACAAGGGCCAGGATGGTCCTAGAGTTTAGGATGGAGCAGAGTTTGTAAGTGGGGATCTGGGGGCTGCCACTGGTAAGAATGGAGGCAGCTGGTGGAATAAGAAACAGACAAGACAGAACTTGGTGCTTCCAATGGAATTTTTCTCTCATGTCTATTTCAGAACAGAACTCAGCCTCATAATTTCACAGCAAGGTTGTCTAGACCAGTGCTTTCCAATAGAACTTGATGGGATGACAGAAATTTTCTACATCTGTGCTCTCCAATACAGTAGCCACTAGCCACACAAGCTATTGAACACTTTGAAGTGTGACTTGAAAGACTGAGAAATTAAGTTTTAAATTAAATTTATTATCTAAGTAGCTGCATGTGGCTATTGGCAACCATATGAAACAAGGTAGGGCTGGACTATTACTAGCATGAATTACTTTAAGAAACCCTAAGGTTTAAAAGCAGTAGGTTTAAATTCTAGAAATATCCATTTTCAAGCAATGTTGGCCTCCAATAAATGTGTAACCATCTCTGGAGTCTGAAGCTTCTTTTGACTCAGATGAGTATTTCACAGGAATGCCCTGGCAAAGAGATTTGAATGAAGTGTGTGTTGTTTCTATTAGGAATTGTTCTTTCTTGAAGGCATTTCCTTCTTTATGTGTATTGTGCAAAATGTAAAATATTATACAAATCTAGAATATTATCTTTGTAAGTACCTACATGATGTGACCTTAAATGCTTTCTCATGCCCACTTTTCCCAAACAGGATTATTTTTTCTCTTTTTTTCCCTCCCTTCTACTCTTTCTATCCTTCTTCCTCTATTCTTGTTTCCTTTCTAACCTCTAAAATAGCACAGACACAACACTGTCCTTTAACAAGTTCCTTTTGATTTCTTTTGTGCTTCTTTACAAAAGCTGTTTTATCAGTTCATGTCATTAACAAAAGATCAGACAAATAACAGTTCAGATCATTAGCAAAAAAATTAACTGGAATGATGATAGCTCTTGATATGCCAATTGATACATTTTGGAGATTTGTCAGAAATAATTATTTCAAAATTATTATGTAAAGAATTTCAGGTGAAGTATTGTACTAGTTTTTTCACAGTTATCGCTTAGATAACATTGTAGTTGCTTTTAATCCTTTGAAAGTCCCCATTTGATTGGATCTCTTAAATTCTCTGTCCTACTTTTCACAAATGAAAAGCTTTTCAGTAAGGTAATATCAGAATGAGAAGGTGGTATTTAGAAGGCAAAACTCTGAAATGTAACAGTAAGGTAACATTGGAAAAGACAGAGTCTGTCTTTAGTCCTTTTCCCTAGTCTGTGTAGCTTAGAACAAATGTGTCTAGGGGCTCTAATGCTAAATGTCTCCAGTTCATAAAATCACAATTATTAATCAGACTATCATTAAATATTCATTGACTTTTGAGATAAATGTCATTTTAAATTTGGAATCCTAGTTTTTTTCTAAATCTAAGAAGAGCACTTTCATTAGGCTTTATAGAAAGAGTGCACACAGAAAGCTAAGAAGCTTTTGAAAACCTACTTCTAAAACTTGGCCTGGTTGCATTCACACCCATCAAAACACTAGGTTTTCAGCATGATCATACTTTATAATCATACATAAATGGCTAAAGTAGAATATTATAGTAAGGGTGTTTACCATTTTTTAAAAAAATGTAGGGAACCATTACCTTGCAGGCATTTTATAACATTTGAAACACAGTTCTTAATGTTTAGTAGGCACTCAATAAAAATTTGTTGAATGACTTAATGAAATGATTCACTTAATCGATTAATTCATTTAAGATGTCAAAGAGCTTTTAAAATTCCAAAAGGTGGCTAAGACTCCCATAAATGAAGATTATATTCTTCAAAGCCCCATGAGTTAAGATACCTGCATCATTTGCTGGGATTTTATACTTCTGCTTTCCTTTATATCAATATGTTTCAGCTGGGTAGAAAACTTTAATGAGGTGCTAGTTAAATATATATTCAAATTCTTAATATCATAACACATGCTAAAAACACAAATCCAAAAATTCCTGTAATATTTTTTACTGTAATCCTGTGGGTTCCTTGAGAGCAAGGGCTACGTTACCAATTTTCTATCCCTTTAACTCAATACATAATAATAGCTAAGTAAACCATTGTTTTGTAAGGAAGGCAGGGAATTAGAAAGGAATAACAGATTTAAATCAGAATGTTATAGTTTATGATCTTTTTCCATTCTGACCATTATTGGAATAATAGAAATTACAGATTTCTGTTGTAGTCAGGGATCATTAATAATTATGTTCAACTCATCAGCATTCATATGTTTAACTGGGTATGAAATAGATTATTCCTGCTTCACATTTTTTTCTCTTTCATCCATCCAATTTTATATTTATTTTTGGTGCCCTGAGGTAGCAAGGTCTGCCAGAGGGAATGTGTGTACAGGAACAAGAGACATGGCTTCTAGCCCTGATGCTGAATGGACCCTGGGAAGAGCATTTAAATTCACTAATGTTGCCCTTCCAAATACTGTGAAAATTCTATTTTTAACATTTGAAAAATAATTTTAAAGCATCAATTTTGACTATAAAATTCAAATAATAAGACTAATTGCATTACTTTTGAAAATCACATATAAAATTTATGTTTAGTTTTAAAAATTCAGAACTGCAAAAGCAGTTGCCAACACTACCATCTCTATCCATAGCATTTCATGTGTCTTATACACAGGACTGGAGTCCAAGGAATCTAGACATAATGGTACAAGAATTATTTGAGGTTCATTTTCCATATCATGCTCATTATTGGCTCCATATTTCCATTTATTTATTGTTCTGAGGCATCCAGAACCCTGCTACTCAGGGAAAATCTCCAGCATCTATTGATGTTAAGAATAGGAGCTTTGAATTAAGGTAATGTTGGACTGGAATCCTGGAAGCAGAACTTACTAGTTATGTCATCTTTAGCAAGGAAGTTACCTTTTTTACTCTCAGTTTCTTTATCTGTAAATTCAAGATAATAATACCTACCCCAAGGTGGGTTGAGAGTTAATGAAAATTCTTATTATGAGAATTAAATGGGATAAACACAGTGGCTGCATATAATATGTGAAAATGATAATTATTAAGATTCACAAAGCAAATGAGATCATAACTTTGGCTCTCCTTCAGAATACAACTCCAAGAATATCCCTACCTTCTAGGAAATACCATTTCTACTTATGAATATTTTGATCTTAAGCTGAAATAAAATGCAAATTGCAAACCTGAATCCCATAGTAATAGCTTATTTACACTGACATGCTGTTTTATTATAATCCTGACTACTTTATTATAATCCTGACTACATGAGGCTTGCAAAGGTAAAAAAAAAAAAGTGTTTTAAATATCATCATGTCTAAATCCAATAAAATCAGTCCTTTCCTTGAAGAAAATAAAATGAAAAAATAATATAACAACATTAAAGAAGAACTGAAACAGGGAAAATCCATAATTTCACCATCCTTAGCCACACTACTCCTTTCAATGAAAACAATAGCTATCCTTTATTTCTAAATGTTTTCACCCTTGGTTCAAAGTAGCATTCCCTATTATACTGTCACAACCATAATTTTTATGATTTTTCCACACTGTTTTTCAATTTATTTATTTCAAGACTGTATCATCTGGTGTAAGTCACATGAACTCAAGGCTTCAGTCAGTCCATCTGTGGTCTCTAATTTTCACATTTTTATTTTAGAAAATGTTGATGGAATACAATGAGCTCATTTTCCTCATCAAATGCTTTGATATTTTCTTATCAAATTGTGCTAAATTATATTATTAGCAGTAAATTTAGCTTCCTAAGATTCATAGATGCTAGTAGGTCACTTCATCCATCTGCTTACATTCTTCCTATTAATTATTTATTATCATTGTAACTCCCTAGCATTTTGCACAAGAGAGACACATGGTAGATTGAGAAGGGGGGCAGGGGTGAGGCAAGGAATATTTATAAAGTGCCATACACAGATGGATGCTTAATAAGTGCTGTTTAATGATCCTCACTGATGACAAGGGTGGATGGAAAACATTATTCATAGGGGATGTGGAGATAGATGTCCATAGTTCAGTGAACCTCTTCCCTTTCCTACTTAATATACAGAAAAAAATCAGGCTTACATTTACCTATGACACATGCTGATGTTTTAAATTAGTTCCATTAATGAAGGATTCTGTTGATTTGTTCGAAACTGCTTTTTCCATCTTCCTGTGTTGACTCCAGATAGTAACTGTAGTACACTACTTAATATACAGAAAAAAATCAGGCTTACATTTACCTATGACACATGCTGATGTTTTAAATTAGTTCCATTAATGAAGGATTCTGTTGATTTGTTCGAAACTGCTTTTTCCATCTTCCTGTGTTGACTCCAGATAGTAACTGTAGTACTTGGGAGTGAGGATTTAATAATAGAGGTAACTGCTGAGCAACTGTGTTGTATACTTAAAGCCAGTATGAGATTGTATATCAACAATACTTCAATAAAAATAAATAAAAATAAATAAGAAAAACAACCTTTCTCCACACTACAACCCAGAATGCATTATT